AGAGACATTTACTGCAGAGCTAATTAGGCAGCTCCTCAGTAAACGCCTTGTGTAGATGTGCCCTTACAGTGGAATTCTGGAATAAAGATATCAATTTATCTATGGATTATTGTATCCATTTATCTATGGATTATATTGTACTCCCTATCTGGTGTTATTGTTCTGAGAGCTTCATCTATAGCTTGCAGGTAGTCTCTCAACTTTATATTGTACTCCCCTATGGGAGTACAATATAAAGACACAATATAAATACTATGTAAATGCAGAAAAAGTTTACATCTGCCAACAACTAATCCAGTGACAAAAATGCCATTGATTCCAGAGGGGTCAGGAGTCACTAGCATTATTGAAAATGAAATGCTTCATGAAAGGAAGGTTCTCAGTAATGTAGTGAAAGTTTTTGTAAATGTTTTAGCAATATTGCATCGAGTATACTCTCAGTTTCCAGCACAGAGCTTGTGGTGCTTTTTTATTTTATTGCTGCCCTTTTTAACCCCTGATTGCTTAGAGAAGGCCAGGGATTATTAAAGGAAAAGGAGATCATTATTCTCATGTGCAAGTTCCAGGTAATGGAGGAAGCTTTGAAAGTGTGAAATGTTCCGTATTCCTATAAGCTTCTAACTCAGAATGAAGGGTGATTTTTTGCAAAACTCAGTCATGACAAATGAGATTTTGCCAAGGGCAAAACCCAAACTTCCTGGCTGGTCACAATTGCTGCATACATTTGTGAAGCTGGCAGTGTGTTCAATCTGCCCAACACATTATAACTCCCCTCCAACCTGAATGAAATCCTTAATCTCCCAAAGTAAACATTATATTGCACAGAATGCACACAATGAAGAAGGTGCAGTTAAAAATGAATATTTTTAATAAACTCTAATGAAAACCAAAGACACCTTGCCAGCAGGTGCCTTAAGACATGTTGTCTGCAGGATATTAAAAGCTGCATGCTAAGGAACACATGGCATAGACAAGCTGAAATCCACAGATGCGAAGGTGCTTAGTTCTTTGACCTCACAGCGATTAGTATTTTCACTGCACAAATAAAATGTTTGCTTCCTCTGCACTTTTGTTCAGCACAGATAGAATACAGTTGTTTCTTTCAGACTCTTATCTGCAGCATATTATTTTATTGTCATGAATAGTACATATGTTATCAGTCCTGAAGCACTTTCGATATATTCTGACTTTGTCCCTCTCCCTCACAGAGCCAACCAGTTTGTATCTCAGCTTTCACAGCCAATGTTTCAAGTATCACAGTTCTGTGCCAATAGAACTTTATCTTGTGGTTGCAAGCCCAGATCAGTGTTGACAAGAAACATTGTTGACATGAGTTATTACTGTCAGAGCTGACTGAGTACTGTTTTTCATTTTTCTTGGGGGGAAAAATCTGGTGGTTTCAGATGAAAAGCTGAAAAAGTCCTAAATAATAGACCATGCCATCTTTCTACACGCCAAAGCAATCAGCAAATTTATCTATAAATTAAAAATAATTTGCCTACTTGTTTTTGCTACTG